ATATAACATTCTTAGAATGACAACTTTATTAATGTATAATTTACATACCACAAAATTTGCATGTTTAAATATACAATTCAATGCTTTTTAGTAAATTTACCAAGTTCTCTAACCATCTCCATAATCCAGTTTTAGAGTGTTTCCTTCACTCCAGTAAAATTCTTTGTGCCCATTTGCCATTACTCCTCCCCCTCCCCCCAGCCCTAGGCAACCAGTAATCCACTTTTTGTCTCTATAGATTTGCCTTTTGTGCATACTTCGTATAAATAAAATCATATGCTATATGGTCTTTTGTGTCTGGCTTTCAGTTAGCATAATGTTTCTGAGGTTCATCCATGGTTGTGCCATGTATTGATAATCCATTCCTTCTTATTGTTGCATATTACATTATATGTATACACAACATTATGATTATCTGTTCGCTGTGGACGGACATTTGGGGTGTTTCTAGTTTTGGGTTCTCACGAATAATGCTGCTGTGAACATTCGTGTACATGTCCTTACGTTAGACATATTTTCATTTATCTTGGGTAGATTCCTAGGAGTAGAATTGCTGGATTATATGGTAAATTTCTGCTTAACTTTATAAAGAAACTGCCTAACTATTTTCTAAGGTAGCTGAATCATTTTATAGTCCCACCAGCAAGTCCTGGAGAATATTCCATATACACCTGAAAAGGCATATATATGTTGCTCATCTTGGTAGGAGTGTTTTGTAAATGCTAGCTTAGCTCAATTTTTGGATAGTATTTTGTAAGTTTTCTATATTCTTGCTGATTTTCTTTCTAGTTGTTCTGTTATCAAGAGTGCGTGTTGAACTCTCTGTTAGTGTTGAATTATCCATTTCCTCAGTTCTTTGTCTTTAGTTTTCAGCAGTTTGATTATGATGTGTCTGCTTGTGGATTTCTTTGTATTTGTTATGTTTAGTGCTCTCAGTTTCTTGGCAATTCTCAGCTATTTTTTCTTCAAATATTTTTTAGCATTACACTCTTTTTCTCCTCTATATTGGATTCCAATTACACAAATGTTAGATCCTTTATTGTTATCCTACAGGTCCCTGAGGCCTTGTTCCCGCCACCACCATCTTTTTTTCTTTCTATTATTTAGATTGGCTAGTTTGTTTACCTATTTCAAGTTCACTGCCTCCTCCATTCTGCTATTGTGTTCTCCTAGTGAATTTTTTATTTTGGTTATTTTATGTTTCAATTCTAAAGTTTCTATTTGATTATCCTTTATATCTTCTCTTTACTTTGCCAGTATTTTGTATTTTAACTTTCTTTCAAGAGTGTTCAAGTTTGGCAGTTTCTTACTTAAGGATTTTTTATAATAGCTGCTTTAACATACTTGTTAGATAATTTCAACATTTGTGTCCTCTCATTGTTGGCATCTGTTGATTGTCTTTTCCCGTGTGAATTGGCATTTTTGTGGTTCTTTGTATAGCAAGTAATTTGGGGTTTTATCCTGGACATTTTGAATATTATGTTTTTAGACTATGGATATTATTTCAGTCCAATGGAGAATGTTGATATATTTGTTTTAGCAGTCAGTTTACCTGGTTAGGTTCAGAGTGCAAGTTCCAACTCACTTTCTGTGGACTGTAGCTCCAATGTTAGTATTCAGGTCCTTTGCAGTGCTATTCAGATCTGTCCCATGTGTGACACCCATTGGTCAATCTGGGACCTGAGTGTTCCTCTGTTAGCTCAGTTCTCAAAGCCTTTGACATGATAATTAGGGATCAAGCCCACATATGTGTGGGTGGGGGGTGATCCGAGTTGCTCATAAGCAGCTTTATGGGTTTGCTTTCCTGAGCTCTTCTCTCTTTGTTATTTTCATGGTACTTTCTGGTTTCCTAGAGCTTTCCTTTTCGGTCCTCCGGTCAGAAACCACCTGCCTTCATGATGCACTGCCTCTGGAGCACAAAGGGCAGGGAGACAGAGGAAGAGAGAAAGTAAGATAAAACAATGGGATTTGGTTTTGCCCTTTTGGAGCTATAACTCCACGGAATGGAATGTAAGTTTCCTTTCCCTTGAGAGTTTTAAATCCTACAGTCTTCTTTTGCCAGTTAATTTCATTGCTGCAGCTTCCACCATGGGATTTTCTGGGCATGGAGAAGGGAGGGAAAGGAGAGAAAAACCCAGGGGATTTCCCTCTAGTTTCTCTGAGTTATAGTAGTTCCTGTTTCCATAAAAAGCACCTGAGCCAGAACATGTGCTCTAACCACAGTGTTCACTAACTTTCAGGTTTTGTTGTGTTGGGTTCAGGCCAGAGAATACTGGAGGTAAAAAGGTGGTAAAGTCATCACCAGTTCAGTTGTACTTGACATTCTGATATTCTTCCCTGGTCTACCTGCTGATAGGTACTTTAAAGAGTTCTCTAATAGCTGCCACATTCTGTACAAATTTTATAGTTGCATTCAGTAGAAGTTTGGGTAGGTTTATTCCGTCTTACCTGGAACCAGAAGTCTTAACTGATATTTTAAGTGATGTTTGGGATTAGTTCCCTTCTTCTTCCCCGAAGTATTTATATATCTCTGAAATAACAGTTTTAGAGATGCAGCTTTTGGTGTAGTTAAGTGGGCAAGTTTCTAAGGGTAAGCAGAGGAGCTGCATCAATGGGCAGAATACATAAGGACCTTCTGAAAAACAAAGCCACTTTTCTGAAGGCATATGTGGTAATCTGACCCGGAAGCACAGTCCTTTGTCCTCATGCAGCATATCATTGACCTCGTTGTTTTCCTTGGCCCTGCCTCTCTGTCACATTCTCTTACTTCTGTCCTGCTGTTTTCCAGTCACCTTTGCCCCCAGGACTTCATTCATCAAGCCCTTTCTCCTCCTTACTCCCCTCTTTGTCTCTGGTTTCCCCCACACTCCTTCCTAACAGTGCAGTCTTGCATTTTATCACCAGACACTGTCTTCCAAGGATAAATACACTTCCCTCTGATATCTTAGGATGTAAGTGCTTGCACTTGACGGATGGAGAAGCTGGGCTGGGGAGGTGGGGGGTGATAATCAGCTTTTGCTCATAGATTAGGGCCAGACCTGAGTCTCTGCAAGGCATTGAGGTGGTCTAGCCAGCTGCTTCTCCAGCATATTAGGGATTTTTCTTTATACAGTATTTCTGGGGGTGGTGGGGCCAGGCCACATGAAGCTCCAGCGCAGCCAGGAATATGGCTCTAGAAAGAAGGTAGTATTCAAATCACACTAACCTCATTAACTTGGGAATATATCAGAGCCTTTTGAGCTGTGTTTTGGTTTTGTTTTGTTTTGTTTTGATTTGTTGTTAATCTTGAAATTTAATAGGAAGAAACTACTAAATAACAGTTACTTTTATGCAAGTATTTCCCCTTGTTAGTTATGTGGTACAAAATCACTGCAGGTAGGAAATCCTAAATAGGCAAAAATACGTGGACAAAAAGCACATGTTTTTAAGTTGCAGCATACTTTTAATATTTTTATGGTGGAAATACATTCCTTAAAAACCATGGTGGGCTTCTCAGGTGTCTATTCAGATCCATCAGGTTCCAGGCATGTAAAGGCTGCTTAACTCATAACCTTCTGGGCATGTATTTCCTATGTACAGATAAAAACTTGTTGGTACAAAAGATACAGTACCTTTTGGAAAGAAAATCCTCAGGTACAGCATGTCTCATTTACTACCACTGAAATTTCTTATCTTCTTGGCCTTGGAGCAGGGCAGCCACAGGGAGCTGCCTGAGTTCTGACCCCACCATTTTTATGCCAGACTGACCCAACTCACACAAGGACAGGTCAAGGATACTCGTTTTCTACTGCTAAGACTTTTATTTTTTTTTCCTTTTGGCAGTAGCCAAAGCAACTAGTTAGAAAGAAAACACACTCATTATTCTTACACTTTGATTTTACCAAGTAATACTCATTTCAGTGGGATGTTTCTGTGGAGATCTCCTTAGCTGTGGGAGCAATTTGACTTTGATACTGGGAGAACAACTGATAAGCCACAGAAGCAGTGATTAAATAGGCTACAGTTCTACAAATAGTACTGATTTAATTATGTGCATAAGGTTGACCAGGCATGAGATTTAAAGCTAGCTTTATTCAAGGCCGGAATAATTTTTGTAACCCCCTGCCTATATTAATTTTCAGGCCCAATTAAATGAATTATTCCGTACTGATTGTGAAATATTCCCGGGTAGCACCATTAAAAGCTTTACTGAATTCAGATTGTTGCATTATTTTTTAAAGCTTGTCTTGGGATAATTGTGCTACACTTCCCAGAGCCTCTGAGCTCTTAATTGAGAGGTTCTGGTCCAAGGTTGATGGAATCTGAGAATTGGAAGAACCTTGGAGATCACAGATCCAGATACCTTCCCAGTGTAGCAATCCTCTTCACAATATTCTATCAAACAGGCAGTTGTCTGACTCTTGATCACTTTTTCCCCCCAAATAATACATAGTTTTCCTCCACACATTCTTGAAGCTTACTCACTCATCTTTCCATGATAGGTCATTCTTTATTCCCAAGCCAAGATCTGCCTTCTGGGAACTCTCACCATTGTGCCCAGCTCTCCCCTTCATTACCACACAGAGCAGATCTCCTTTGTCCAAAACAGTTAAAGTCATCTATTTTCCTACTTGCCATTCCCCTATCTCCCACCTCTGGTCTTCTCAGGCTAAAAAATTCCTGGTTCTTTCAACAGCTTTTTTTTTTTTAAAAAAGATTTTATTTATTTATTTGACAAAGAGAGACACAGCGAGAGCAGGAAC